GGTAAAGATTTGGGAATTTAGTGAGATTTCTTGCTGAGTCCTTGTTACCTGTAAGAAGGGAGCTTTAATTTAGAAAATGTTCCCATAAGATCTAGAGGTAAGGCTTTTTCTTAGTGATTGATGGGGAGGTCCAGCCTATTGTGCTTGGTGCAATCCCTGGCTGCTGGTTTTTGGGTTCTGCAAGAAAACAGGCTGAGCAAGCCATGAAGAACAAGTCAGTAAGCAGCACCCCTCTACAGCATTTGCATCAGCTTCTGCTTCCAGGTTCTTACCCTGTGTAAGTTCCTGTTCTGACTACCTTCAGCCATTAACAGAGATATGGAAGTGTAAACTAAATAAACCTTTTCCCCTATACCTTGCTTTTGCTCATGGTGTTTCAACACAGCAATGGAAACCCTAAGACACCAGAGCTTAGTGTGTTCAGATTCTTGACCTCTTATTCAAGGAATTTGAGTGAAGGCACCTCCAGATTTCAAATTAGATGGGAAACTTTATTAAAAGCTAAGGGGTATTTCAATTAGGAAAGAATAGGAAGTCAAGAGGAACAGCAGGTCATATAAATGAAGATACTCAAGTATAACAATTATTGTCTAGGAATTAGTTGTGGACTTCAAGAGAAGTAGGAGGTTGGTTGTCCAAGGGATACAGCACAGGTGATTCTCTATTTTGATTGACAAGCTTGGGTTCAAAAGGATTTTATTCACTGCAAATGTCCCTTCTCTTGATACATCTAATGAAAATTTCATGCATACTCAATTATATATATAGATAAGATGGTAAATAGGACACAGTTAGTCTCTTTGTACAAGTACCCAAACCAGTCTAGATGGATCAGGCTAGGTCTTTTTGTTTCAGAACATGTTCTGGGATGTGTATCACTAAAGAATTGCTTAGAAAGTAACTAATATATGTTTGAAGCACATATATCTGAAGCCTGATGCACTTGAGGGTTCTAGGTTGCCAATTGCTTTACAGTTGTGTTGTTCATGGAGGAGTTTGCTTGCATAGTATGTGCAGGTAAGGCTCTAAAGCTGCCAATACACTGTTAGAAGAGGGGTGGGTGGAAAGCCCAAGTCAAGTGGAGTCTTAGGTTGTTAAACTATAACCCATGCTTGATTGATTCATCCATATATGGTAATGATACAAAAAACCCTAGGGAACAATTCTCAAGACCATTTTTGTAGTGGTATTAATTCATTTATGAGAATTGATCAAACCCTCATGACCTAAACATAATCATTAATCTCCATTTCCAACATCACTGGACAGGGGAATGTTTACTCCACAAATTTCCAAGGGGACAGAAACATTCATCTTTAGCTCTTATCTCTTTGTATTTGCTCTTTCTACCCTTTCTTTGTTCCTTTCCTTCATGTTAGGTCATTGCCCAGATTATTGATAATGATTATAAATGTAACTGGATCTAGAATCACCAAGGAGGTAATACTCTGGACATGTTTGGAGGGCATTTTTATTTTTTAAATCAGCCCAAATGTGGGTGGTAGCATTCCACTAGAAAAGGCTGTGGAAAGAGAGGCTGGGTGGTGGCACATTCCTTTAATTCCAGCACTCTGGAGGCAGCGGCAGGCAGATCTCTGTGACTTTGAAGCTAGCCTGTTCTACAGAGTGAGTTCTAGGATAGGCTCCAAAGCTACATAGAGAAACTGTCTTGAAAAGCCGACACGCGCGCGCGCGCACACACACACACACACACACACACACACACACACACACACACACACAGAGAGAGAGAGAGAGAGAGAGAGAGAGAGAGAGAGAGAGAGAGAGAGAGAGAGAGAGCACTCCCCAGCAGCACATACGGATCTCCACTTCCTGAGGCCGATCAGGAAGTGATCAGCCACCTCACTCTCCTCCACACCTGAACTGTGAGCAAAAACAAATCTTTCTTTCCTTCAGTTGCTTTTGCTAGGTATATTGTCACAGCAAGGAGAAAGGTAACCAACAATACAGGGAGCCTTCCTTGAGGCTGATGACTAGTCTCTTAATTCATTTTCTTTGCTTTGGTCTAGGACATGTGCCTTGTGTTCTCAAGCTTTCCATGACCTTATTTCATCCTGTAATTGGAGGTGACATTTCCTTACTGCTGCCAACAGCACAATGTACTCTTATCATCCACTTTTGGAAGTTCTTATTTCAAATGACTAAACTCTATAATTTACTCATGAAAAATTGTGCAAAGGACTTCACCCCTTTCTGAGGACACTGGTCTTGACAATTGCATTCTGGGCTGGATTTCAGCCTCTAACTGCTTTTTATTGATAGTTTGATTTCTCTGAGGGTGGCATAGTCTGTTCCTTTATGAGTGAGGCTTTGTACTTAAATACCACACCCAAAGCATAAGTATTTCATGTAATATATTTACACTACCCTGATCTGCAAATACAGCTCTTTATTTATTATTTATTTATCGGTTTATTTATTTGTTTGTTTTTTGTTTTGACATCCTTACTCAAGTTTCCCTTTCTTCCTCTCCTCCCAGTCCCTTCCCTTCAATTCACTAATCCTCCATTTCTCTTCTGAAAAAGGCAGGCCTCCCATGGATGCCAATCAGCTAGGTTATATCTAGTTGCAGTGAGACTAGGCACCTCCTCTTCTGCCGAGACTGGGTGAGGCAATCTGGCAGATGGAAAGAGTCCTAAAAGCAGACACCAAAGTCAGAGACAGCCCCTACCTCCACTGTTAGGAGCCCCAAAAGAAAATGAAGCTACACAACTGTAACATATATGAAGAGGGCCTAAGTCAGTCCCATGCAGACTCCCTGGTTGTTGGTTCAGTCTCTATGAGGGCCTATGAGCCCAGATTTGTTGATTCTGTTGGTTTTCTTGAGGTGTCCTTGATCCCTCTGGATCCTACAATCCATTTTCTCTTTCTTTCACAGGATTCTCTGAACTCTGCCTAATGTTTGCTTGTTGGTCTTCGCATTGTTTCCATCAGTTGCTGGGTAAAGCCTCTCTTATGACCATTAGGCTAGGCACAAATATATTAATATAGAAGAATATCATTAGGAACCATTTTATTGACTTCTATTTCCCAGTCATGTTTGGTTCTATCCTAGGTCTCTGGGCTGTCCTGTCTCTTGATTTTGACCTTCCAGGCAGTGTCAGGAGTGAGCTCCCTCTCATGGTATGGGTCTCAAGCTGGACCAGTTATTAGTTGGCCACTCCCACAATTTCTGCTTCATCTTGACCCCAACATATCTTGTAGGCCAGAAAATTTGTAGGTTGAAGGTTTTTGCCTATGTTGGCATGGTATCTCAGTTCTTCCAATGGAAGTCTTGCCTAGTAACAGGAGATGGCCATTTCAGGCTCCATATCCCCCATTGCTCAATCTTAGGTAGGCTTCCCCTCACAGATTCTTGAGAGTTTACATTGCACTAGGTGTCTTAGTTAGGGTGTCTATTTCTGTGAAGAGACACTGTGACCATGGAAACTCTTATAAAGGAAAACATTTAGTTGGGGTGTCTTATAGTTTCAGAGGTTTAGTCCACTGTCCTCATGGTGGGACATGGCAGCAAGCAGGCAAACACGGCGCTGAAGAAGGAGCTGAGAGTTCTACATTTTGATCCAAGACAACAGAAAGTGATATGTGTGTTACAGTGAGCATAGCTCAAGCAAAGGAGACCCCAAGGCCTAACCCCACAGTGACACACTTCCTCCTACAAGGACACTCCTGTAGACAGTTTCTTCCTACTTGGTCCCATTGCCTTTCAGTTCCAAATAAACACACAGAGGCTTATATTAATTATAAACTGTTTGGCTGATGGCTCAGGCTTCTTATTGGCTAGCTCTATCTTAATTATTAATCCATTTCTATTAATCTAAGTATTTCTAAATGGGCTTGTCTTACCAGAGAATGCCCGGACCTGTTACTCCTTTGGTGGCTACATGTTGTCCCCCTTGTGATTCTCCCTCTGTGTTCCTCTTCCCAGCATTCCTATTCTGGTAGCCCCACCTATACTTCCTGCTTAACTACTGGCCAATCAGTGTTTATTCACATACAGGGCATACCCCATCACACTCCTACTCTAACAAAGCTATACTTCCTAATAGGGTCACTGCTTTTGAGGTCTCCTTTTTTCAAACCATCAGCGATATCCCCCAATTCCAGTTGTCTTTCTCTCCATCCTCCCCCATATACCCAGAGGCATATACCCAGAGGACACTCCACTATACCACAAGGACACTTGCTCAACTATTTTTCTAGCAGCTTTATTTATAATAGCCAGACACTGGAAATTACCTAGAAGTCCCTCAATCAAAGAATGGTCCATTTACACAATAGAGTATTAACCAGCTGTTAAAAACAATGATATCCTGAAATCTTTTGGCAGATGGGTGGGACTAGAAAAGATCATCCTAAGTGAGTTAACCCAGACTCAGAAAGACAAACATGGTATGTCCTTATTTATAAGAGGTCTTACCTGTAAACTAAAGGGTAGCCATGCTACAATCTACAGACCCAGAGAAGCCAAGCGTCAAGGAGGGCTCAAGAGGGGAACACATGAATCTCACTGAGGAGGGGAAATAGAATAGACATCGAAGGTGGATGGGGGAGGGGTCTGGATGTGAGTGGGGATGGCAACAGGAGTAATCAGGTACACACCCAGCTTTTTTTTTTATACAAGACACAAGAATTTTTATTTTCAAAAAAATAATGTACTTTTACACAAATCTACAGCAGAGTTCAACTGAAGAACAAATAAACTATACTATGTGCCTGGGTTCTGGTCAAAATGTGGGCTTGTTGCTATGGGGTTTCTGGAGGGGTGTTGAGGTCCCTCCAGTTGTGGCTTGGTGTGGTGAGATATTGCTTATGATTTATTAAAGCTAGCTTGAGGATTCAGAAAGCAAAGTCAGCCATAGGTCATAGAAGCCAGGCATACCCATTTAATCCCAGCAGCCAGAAGCTAGGAGGTGGTACACACCTTTAATCCAAGGACTCAGGATTAAGAGATAAATGGATCTCTGAGAGTTCAAGGCCACTAATATCTACACAAGAATGAATCAGTCTAAAAGAGAATTATAGCTCACACCTTTAATGCCAACATTAGGGAAGTATATAAGACAGAAACAACGTCTCAGAGAGGCATTTGTTCTCCAGCCACCCTGAGAAGAGACAGCAGTTTGAGACACGGTGAAGAACTCATATGTGGATCAGCCCTTTCAGTCTGAGCTAGAGGTGAGAGCTAGTGGCTGGCTGCTTTGCTTTCTGAGTCCTCAGGCAAGCTTTAAGAAATCATAAACAATATCTCACCACAGCCTGGTGTGCAGACCCAGTTTTAAAGAAAGTAACAAATGGAAGAATTTGTAGAAGCACTTGATTCAGTTTAAAAAGTTTTTTTTTCTTTCAAAGTATAAACATTATAAAATCAAATTACATACTTAAAATACAAAAAGTATAGAAAGACTAATGTTAAAATCACCATTTCCTAGAGCAAAGAAGTGACTTTTATTTGTTATACGCATGGCCTTTTTCTGTAGTTGGAACTGGATCTTATCGATACAAACATCAGAGGTTTCCAAGTCTCCACAATGAGAATTCATGAAGTCCTGTAACTGAAGCAGGATGGAGCAGTTGTTTCTCAGTTCCTAGCCTTGATGACCTTGAAGAAGGAAGTGAAGATATCAGCTCAGATCGGTTTTGATGGAGCTGGCCACACCCTTCCCTCTTTACTCCGACTGTCTTGTCTCTAAGAGCCATCCCTGGTCTTTCATCATTGTCTGCTTCTTTTAATGATTTTTCTGTTCCTGCAGCCAGATTTTCATCTTTGCTTGAGACTACCACATGAACTCTTTCCCAGCATGAGTGAAAGTGGAAGAGCCTGAGGTGTTGTGGAGCCATGGGTGAGAAGGAAGTGCAATACTTGATGACAAGGGTTGAGTGGAATGTGGAATGTTCTCACTGGGCAGGAGGGCAGGAGGACTGGAAAACAAAAGCCTGGTACAGCTGCTGGGAAGAGGGTTTCGAACTTTGACGTTGGTCCTGCGAACTCAGGAGGCCAGCCCCTATATTTCATTTGTTTCCACTACTATCTTAGACTTGCTTTAATATACAGTGAATCCTGAAGGGATGTATGTGTGTGTGTGTGTGTGTGTGTGAGAGAGAGAGAGAGAGAGAGAGAGGGAGAGAGAGAGAGAGAGAGAGAGAGAGAGAGAGAGAAGTGTATGGATGATTCTGGTATCTTTGTGGTCTAATTTGCTCCATGTATCCTTGTAAGCATATATTTGTTGTGAGTTCTGCTTGTGAACCTCAGTGATGGGCATTATTTCTATGTTGTCTATGAGGAACTTCAGAAAACCACAGAGCCAGAATTTGAAAAAAACTTTCTTAATCAAAACCATGTTCTTATTGGACAATCTCTCTGCTTTAATAAACTCAGTGCTTTCATTACTTAACACAGCACAAAACAGCTGGATGTTTTGGAACTGGGCTGCCTTAGAACTCATTGTGTGAACCAGGCTAGCCTCCAACTCACAGAGATGCATCCATCTGTCTCAGTCTCCTGAGTGGTGGAATTAAAGGTATGAACCACCATACTCTGCCAATATCATAATGGCTTCTGAGAAGTGCTCTGAATTTCCATTCTTTTCTATGATTAAAATTATCATATTTTAAAGGATGGAGAGGAATGTTTACACATATTAACTGAAAACTTGTTTCCTTCCACATGTTGAATTATCTCTGCAATACCCCCAGCTGTTTTAGTATAATATCAAAAGCACGATTCTTGGAGAGGAGGATGCTCCCCTAGAGCACGTACCTCCATGTTACTATGCCTAGTAGATCTCAGCTGCACTTTATCCTCATTTGATGTCAATTCAAAGCACACAAGTTTAAGTTTATCTCTTGGGTTACAGTCAACACTGGTCAGTCGTCCATAGACCACCACCTCCATCATCCCTGTATTGTCTCGAATTTCATAGCAAATGCAGTCCTTACTCACATTTTTCTGCAAAAGAAAGTAATACCCATCTTCTGAGAAATGGCCAGACACTGTCACATCTATGAGAAGCAAAGGGTGTTCCCAGAATTTTGGCTTGGACAGGAAAAAAATGGAGTTATCTGTTGAGACCCGGGTGGGGGAGTTGGGAAAAACAGCTTCAGATACTCTGTGTTGCAAATCATTGTTTGTGAACCTTTTTTCAAGCTTTAGTATAGACTGTGGTAGCTAATCTTGCTTGTCAACTTGACCTTATCTGGAGTCAACAAACACCCAAGCATCTGGACACATAGGTGGGGGATTATCCTTGATTAGATCATTTGAAGTTAGGAGACCATTTTAAATCTGAGCCACACCTGATGCCAGCAGGCAGAAAAGGAACAGAAAGAATGAAGCTTTTGCTTGCCCTCACTCTCACAGGCAATGTCATCAACTCTGCTACTGCTGAGAAATTCCTTTACTGTTTCTATTCCTAACAGGTAGAAAGAAGGGAAGAACCCTGCTTTCCCAACCCAGTGCATTCTGGGGCAGAAGAGTTCATTTGATTCGTATTCTGGTTGTTATAATCAGTACCTGTCTTAGGCAGTCAACTCTCATTCAAAATCAAATTTTCAAAAATGTAGCAGGTGAAGAAACCCAAAGAAACAAAATCTTAATGATAGTAGTATTGATGTAACTGTCCATGAATGATACAAATAGATGGCATTGCTTGAAAAAATGCCAGAATCTCTTGGCAAATCTTTTTCTAAAACAGTTTTCCTCATGGTACCCTGAAAAGTATATTGAGACTGCATTTTACACTTAAAGGCAGGAAACCCTATGCCCCAACAATGATCATGAAGGCCTTGGAGTTTGGCATGCAGTAAGTTAACCGTTATAATCTGCCAAGATAAGCCTGAAAGTCTAAGATTGCAGAAGAAATTTTATAGAATAATTCAGTGGCTTACCTCATATACCATAAAGATTCCATTCACAAATATTCCTCTTCTTTTTGAGCAAAGATAATTGATTTTAGGTGTTGCATTGGCTCTTTGCATCAGTGCAGTTGAGATAATCATTGATTGGTTAACATTTACCTCTGACACACTGGAGGCACTGTAAATATTTATGAACCCATTGCAACCGAAATAATCTGAGATGGTAATGACATTGCTTTTGATGAACTTCGCCTTCAGGGAAATATCAAACACCTTCACTCTAAAGAATTCAGTCTCAGTGGCCACTGTGGCATGGAACATACTTTTCTCGCTTTTTGTGCTGTATGTAAATGGTTCTGTTGCTTTTAACACCATCACTTGTTTGGGATCGTGGTGGTAACCATGTACCTCAGAAGGTTGAGTAGGAACAGTCTTCAGTCTTGGTTTCTGCATAGAATGTACACAGAAAAAAAAGGCACAATTAAGAGAGCTAATTAATTGGGGAGAGCAAGGGAAAAATCTGAACAATAGCTGGCATGGTATAACTTAGTTCATGGAAGACATGGAGTTATAGGTAAGGATGTCAGCTTGCACCAATCATAAGTACTAGATTATATGTACATTTCTCAAGTGTTGGCAAATGAAGCCAAGGGCACCTGTGTAGTAACTCACAATATGACAGCCGCAGCTGAGAAAATGTGAGTAGGACTTAAGGAGCAACTATCATACACTACCTTTAGAAATAAAGGAAGTTCAATTACAAGTGTTTTCTGTATTCTTTGCAGGTCCAGAAAAGACTGGAGACAGTCTAAAATCAAATCACACAGGATTATCTTTATAAACTCTTCATGGATTGTTTGAGATAATGAAATCACTTACATAGATAATGGTTGCTCGATTGTCAGCTCAACATATATTAAATATTATGTTAAACATTTTAAAAGTTTTTCCCACTCATCCAAGTGTAAGAATGTTTGCATTTGTGTGAGCAGAGAAGAGTAGAGGGCATCCTGTGGTGACAGTCTTTGCTTTTCACCTGTCTGAAAAAGGTTTCTTTCTTGTTCACTGCTGATTTTACATCATGTGCTGTTAGCTTTTGTCAACTTGACACAAACTAGCATTACCAGAAAGATGGAATCTAGACTGAGACATTAGACTGGCTTATGGTCCGGTCTGTAGGACAATTTTGTTGTTGTTGTTGTTTTTAATGATAGATGTGGGAATGCCCAGCTCTCTGTGGGTGGTGCCACCTCAGGCAGGTGTTCCTATATTATATGAGAAAGCAAGCTGAGCAAGTCATGGAGAGCAAGCCAGTAAGCAGTATTCTTTCATGGTCTCTGTTTCAGTTCCTGATTTCAGGTTCCTGCCTTGAGTTCCTGCCTTGGCTTCCCTCAATGATGAATGCTTTAAGCTTAAATACACTCTTCCCTTCCCAAGTTGCTTTTGTTCAGAATGTTTCATCACAGCAACAGAAAGAAGGCTAGGATAGGGATTAATGACCTAGTCCAAGATTGTAATAACCTCCATCATTGTATAGTGAAAACAGGAAATTACCTTGGCTGGTCTTGCTAGAAACATTCTTTTAGGGGCCTGGGCACTGCTGAATGCTTTTGCTGCAGACACTCGAGGGCCTTGGAAACTGCTAGATACTGTTGCTGGAGACATTCCAGTGGTCTGGGCACTGCTGAATGCTGTTGTTAGAGACGCACCAGGGACCTGGGCACTGCTGGATGCTGTTGTTAGAGACACACCAGGGAGGTGGGCACTGCTGGATCTTGTTGCTGGAGACATTCCAGGGGCCTGGGTACTGCTGGATGCTGTTGCTAGAGACATTTGGCGGGCCTGGACTCTAAGTGATATTTCTGGAGACACTTGACTCTCTTGGTCCCTCTTAGAAGCAGTTGTAGAAAACCGAGGAACCTGGACAATATGGGAAGGAATGGATGGCACCTTAGGGGTCAGGAGGCTGTTAGATGCTATTGATACAGACGCATGAGGAGTCTGTCAAACATGGGAGATGGATTGGTAAGCCCCCAGGGCATTTACAACAACAGTTCAGTATTTCTGGACCCATCTATTTAGGTTAAAGTCTTTTAACTGACGATCTAACAACTGTAGTTAAATTAAACTACTGCATATAGTCTATTGAGATCAAAATAATTTCAAATGGTATACCTTCTCAAGAAAAAGGATTAATTTTAAGTGAGGTTTAGACATAAGCATTTGATAATAGGATGAATGTTTAATCATACGAAAGAATCATAGTCTTCAGGGTTTGTGGGTTTGTTTCCACTCCTCCATGAACTACCTCTTTTTGTCTTGATAACAGTTGATTTTCCCTTTTCCTTTTTCTGTTGGAAACTAACTTGTGTATGCCAAGCTCTCATCTCCTACTGAGATTTATTGTAAACCCCCAGTCATGGTTTTCAATGTTAAATAAAGCACAATAACTTTAACACCAAGAGCATCAACTTATCATCGTTGGGGACAGCATTCTCTGAACAGAAAATCAGAGGTAGGATTGTCTTATACAGGAACAAAAATTTCATTTACATCACTTTTCTGTGCATCTCCGTGGCGACAGAAGAGCAGGTCTATGTTTAGAAAGTCCAGCTTGAGGTTTGATGTCCTTTAAGAGGCTTTGGAAAAGTATGTCCTTAAACTGACTGCCATTTTATCAATGTCTATAAGAAGAACGATGACTTAACCTGTTTTATGTTCCTTTATTGTGCCTGTCTGGGCTTATGTACCACTGAGGCCATGTGAAGGTCAGAAGACATCATCACATGGCTGTTAGTTCTCTCTTTCTAATATGTGGGATCTGGGAATCAAACACGGGTCATCAGTGAGGCAGTAAGCACCTCTGCCTGCAGAGCCACCTCACTTGCCTGAGTAATGATTTTTCATTCCCATCATAGAGAATTACACAGCACAAGTTAAAGTATGAGATAGTCCTGACACATGAATGACCATTAAGTATGAGACTGGTTACCCCACATCTCCACTTTTAAGATCCTATGACTAGACAGATAAGCATTCACTTAATGTAAAAAGGGGAAGAACCTTAGTGGATTTTCCACTGGGAGCTTAACCACCATACCTGTGAGTTCAGTGTACTCCTGCCTGATTCTGGTTCCAAATCTTCATTTGTGGTGGACATAGGTTGGGAAGAACTGGGTTCATCTCTCTTGCGTCTTCTTGCTGGGATGTTGCTTTTCTCCGTCTCTTTCCTTTTAGCTGGTGCAGGGGAGAAAATGCAGTAAACTCAGGAACACTGGTGTGAGACAACTGGCATTCATTCAATACTATTTGCTCTCAGCTCCTGCTTGTCTTGCTGTAATTGCCTACCTCTGTTTTGGAAGTTTGATGGGACCACAAGGTCACCCATGTTACCAAGTCAGGTACAGGACAGCCTCAGGAGTGTCCTTGTTCTCTCTAGGTGCAGAGGACACAGTCTTGGGACTCCTGTGTCCATCAGTCATGCCCTGCCCCAACTCTCTCATCCTACAGTCTGTTTTTAAAGAATTTAAAGTTTAGGTCTGGGGAGATGTTTCTGTGGGTAAAGCCCTTGCTCTGCAAGTGTGGAGACCTGAATCAACTATTTGATGACAAGTTAAAATGGCTATATAGAACTCCCAGGCTAAGCAGCAGATGTAGCCATATTCTAGCTTGCCCATTTAGCTGAAAATGAGAGCCTCGTGTTCAATAAGAGACCTTTGATGAGAAACAACATAGTGAGCAATAGAGGAAGACACACAGTGTTGACCTGTGGCTTCCAAATGCTTGTATGAGGATAATCAGTGACCAACCATCTTCTGTAGAAGACCACTCTGAATCAGAGAATCCTTGAAGGAAATGATGTGATTTGTGATGTGTGTGATATGACAAAATGCTGATAGTTGCTTTGACTTCCTACCTTTTGTTTCTGTTTGTTTTTATCTATTAATTTGTTAGTTATTTGTTTGTGCACTTCTTTTGGGTACAGAGTTTAGCTACATAGACCAGACTGGTCTTAAACTGAACATCTCCCTGTTTTCAAACTCCTGATTGCTAGTATCAGAGATGGGAGTGTCTATGCCAAGTTAGTCATGTTTCTTTTCTTTTTCTTAAGCCCGGTGACTATAAAATATAGCTATTTCTTACCTCTGGTAGGTAGACTTTCACTTAATTATTGACCACAACATTTTTTTTTTGTAGAATAGATAATGTTGAGTGTCTTAATGGAGCATTAATACTAATTGGTTTAAATACTTTAAAATAAAAATTATCTCAATCTTTATTTTATAATTTTCTCATCTTTGTACAGTAGTGGAAGGTCTCATCTCTTTCAACAGCTTCTGCATTTTTATTTGCCCCAGTGCCCTCAAAGATAGACAACCCCCAAAACACAGAATTCTTTATAAGAAGGAAGATTTTTATGCTGTTGATTTTTTTTTTTACATCTGAAATGCTGCCCTTCTTTAGATGCTGAGGTATACACTGTGAAAAGTGATGTCAGTTATGATCACCACATGGAGCTAGTGTGCAGCTGGAGAAGTTGAAGAAAGGGTGGGCATCCAGGCTGCTCCCATATTACCTTTTGCCTTCACTTTTTTGAGTTTATCAGCAAGGTCTCCAAGTCCTGGCATCTCTTTGTACAGTTCTATCAGTTGGTGCATTCCAGCATCTTTTGGGAACTTTTCTTCCATCAAGTCGGCAATCCTAATTCTGTCATAATCATCTTGCATTTTTCTATTTAGTTTTAGTTCTTTGCTCAACAAGGACTTAACCATTTTAAAATCATGGTCACTGATACCCATTAGTCCTGTCAGAAGAACAATTTTCTTATATTCATTCACCATTTCTCAAATTACAGGTGAACCTAAAGGAGAATAATAGCATACAGAATTACACACAGTCACAGACAGTTTCAAAAACAAGGTACACTTAGACAAGTCAATGACACATGCCACAGTGTCCATAATTGCAGGAAGACATGGTGCTGGAGAAACATCTCAGAGTTCTACATCTGGATCCACAGGCTTCAAGGAAAGCCACTGGGCCCACCACTAATGACATACTTTCTACAAACAAGGTCAGATCTACTCCAACAAGATCTTATCTTGTAATCCTTTCAAATGGTGCCACTCCTGTTGATCAGGCACTCAAATGTATGAGCCTATGGGGACGATTCTCATTTATACCACCAGAAGTGTTAAAATTCTGGATCTTCTTTCTAGTACTCAGTGATGTTGGTGCTTATTCCTGGATGTGGTTCCTGACTCTTGTCATACTATTTTCTGAAGTTGCTTGGGGCTTCTTAATGTATGTATGAATATTGGTTGACTACAACACAATGGCCCATGCTGGGGGCACTGACACTTGCCCACTTGGCTCTAAACATTTCTCACTGACATTCTGATTCCCATGGTGTTGGATACTGGTCTCAGGGTCCTCTGTGCCCATATGATGGTCACTGTGCTCAACACCTACATACTCTCTAGTCAGGTCACAGAATTTATTGGGTAGGATTATGTCAAGAGTTGTTTGTTTTTCTCCTTTGTGTTTCATAGCCTTTGATATCATGAGTCAGTTTCAATTGTTCATTGAGTCTGTTTTCTGTATTTAAACCATTATTAAATTCAGTTCAAATCCCCAATAGTTCCTCAATTTGTTAAAACATCTTGCTCCTTAAAATATCTCGGGAGGCCTCCAATGATCTTTGTCTTTGTATTTGCTTCTTTATGCCTAGTATGAGAAGCTTTAGGGTTAAGTCTTCCATCACTTGTCCTGCTTTGTGCTGTTGCTAATTAGAGTTTAATTGTCATTCTCACATTTCTTTCTGTCTGACTCCTCATGGTAACTTTTAAGAAGAAAAAAAAGTGAGACATCTTCTGGAAATTTCCAAGATGCTAAAAAGAACATAGTCTCATTCTGTGATTCTTCATCTCATTTGAGCTTTGTGTACTATCTTGGTGACTCAGCATGTGAATGGATTCCAAGTTAGCTTAAATCTGGAAGTCATTTGGGTTAGGAATTATGTTTTGTGTATCTTCTGTATAATGGGAATGCCACATTTTCTGGGTCTGTTCACTGCTTTCCTTTTGAGAAAAGTTAAGCATCAATTGGTTGAAAAGGCCAAGACAGTGAAGGAAAATCCATCTAAGGAAACATCAACGTTAAGATGATTAAAGATATTTTAAAAAGTGACCACTCTGTAAACCTTCAGACATGAAGACTACTGTCTTAGGGTTTCTATCATTGTGATAAAGCAATGACCATAAATATCCTGGTGAGGAAAGGGTTATAGCCTTAAAATCCTGCTCCTATTTCACTTAATGATAGACTGTGGTGTAGAAGTTAAGCCAAAATAAGCACTTTCCTCCACAGGTCACAGAGGAGTGCCGCTTACTGGCTTGTTCCCCATGGCTTGTTCAGCTTGCTTTGTTACAGCATCCAGGACCACTAGTCCAGATATGGCAATGCTCACAGTGAGCTGGGCCCTCTACATTAAACACCAATCAAGAAAGTACTCCACAGGGACGATCAAGGGCCAGTCTGGTAGGGACATTTTCTCAATTAAAGTTCTGTTTTACAAAATGACTCTAGTTTTTTGTCAAGCTGACATGAAACTAACCATCACAGCTAGATCACCTGCAAAGATTCAAAGACACGATTAGAGCTCATTATCAACAGCAATTTGCCTTAAGCAAAAGTGTGTGGATTTTATATATACTGTTCCATGATGTCAAAACCAAAGAACTTTAAAATTATGAAGTTTTGATTAATTGCTTAATGATTCATGACAAACACATATCTCCAAAAGATAATGTGTGGTGACAGGAGGCCTGAGTACTCTGTGTGTATCCCATTTACATGTGAACTATGATGTTTTGTTGTTGAAGTACTGTCTTGATTTGGTGATAATGATCCTAATCTCAATGATATTTCCATTAATATAGGAAATAGGCATTAATATCCATCTGCAGTTACCATATTCTGGATAGGAAAATATATTCTCACTGGCATCAAGAGATGCAGTCAACTTACCATGAATTAAAAATGAAAAAGAAACAAAACTTGCTGATAGTATCTTAACCCAGATAAAATAAGACAGTTCTAAAATGTACTGTTTGATATTACAAGCCTTAGTAGTTTCAAAAGTCAAAAACATAGAAAAAGATATTAGAATTAACTGTGAGAAAGCCATAAGTAAAATTGAGTGTACTTCAGAGTAAAAACTAAGCAGAAATACAAGCTTCGCTGGTCTTGCCTCTGTATCACAAGTGAAACTCTGATCAAAGAGATGAAAACTAGGAAGGAAATACGGTTGATGCAGGGAGGCAAAGGGTGTAACAGTTCACTAATGGTTTCATCTTAATCTGTAAACATAACTTATAAAGAAAAGGCAAGGAGGAGAATACAGAAGTATCAGCAATGAATACTACAGCAAGAGCAAAACATAAAATTAAAAACAAAGAAGGTATTAATTATCAGCTTGAATATAAATGCCATAGTCAGTTAAGTAAAAGCTTTTGTTAATTTTTACTTAAGATATATAGCTATTGTTAATTCAATGATAACCAAACTACAATCTGTAGAACCCCAAAGGGTAGGTATAGAGTAAAGTACTAGAGTTGTGCTTCTCAACCTTCCCAATGCTGCTTCTCTTTAATACAGTTCCTCATGTGGTACCCCAATCTTAAAGTTATTTTGGTTGCTACTCCATAGCTATAATTTTGCTACTGTTATGATTCATAATGTAAGTATTTGATATGCAGCATATTTGTGAAAGGGACTTTTAAATTCCTGAGGGTTCCTGACCCACATGCTGAGAAACATTAGACTAGAGTGAAGTGCTGGATCTCCTTAGGCAAGGGAAATAGAATAAATAATTATGAATGGATGGGAGGCTGGAACAGCGGGATCAGTTGAGGAGGGAGAGGGGAGAAAGAGTTGTGCAAGGGGATATGGGGAGAGACATCTACAATTAAGGGCAATTTGAGGGGTAGTATAAAAACCTAATACAGTAGAAACCTAATACATATAATCTAAATGAAATTGCAAAATATATCAGGGAGACAGAGTCCCATCTAGCCATTTCTTGTCACCAAATGAAGCTTCCCACCAGAATTGGGTTACATTCAATTGAGTTGTTGTACAAAGGGGCCCTACAGGAATCCCCAGACAACCCAGACTGTTGTCAAGGCCAAAGGTTGCTCTCTTCAAACTGACAATAAGGCCCCATTGCTGAAGACAGCACCCATACAACTCATTGAACATGGAGATGTCGAGTTGGTGCCTACATAAAGCATTGACCCCTACTTGCTAACATCTTTGGTATATGGAGGTACTCTGCATATACCCAAAAGAGAAACACCAACCCAGCTACAAACCTTTTGATCTACAAGGGTGTTCTGCTTGAAAGATATGTGAGAGTAACCAACTAATAACTGATTTGACTTAACGTCCACTCCATGAGATGGAATCAATGACCTGACACAGCTTGGGTGATCAAGAACCAGAGAGTAGATAGCCCAGGGACCTAGAGGAAAACCAAATAATACTTGTCTAAAAAGAGAAAAACAATGCAGTGAAAAATGACTCCTAATGATATTTGCTATACTAATAAATCAATTCCTTGTACAGCCATTATCAGAGAAACTTCCTCCTCCAGCAGCTGGGAATCAATGCAGAGACCCCACAGTCAGGCATTATCCAGAGAATAAGAGACATTGATACACACAACCCTCCATGGGATGTCTCCATCAAATCCCTCCCCTCAAAGCTTCCCATGGAAGAGCAGGCAGAAAGAGTGTAAGAGACAGAGTGGAGGGAAGACACCAGCAGAATAAGTCCTCTAAACCAACCTAAGCAAAGTGCACATGAACTCACTGAGACTCAAGCAGCATGCCCAGGGCCTGCCCAGGTCTACATTAGGTCCTTTGCTTATATTATGGCTTCCAGTTTAGTGTTTTTATTCAATTCTTAAGTGTGCTAATGAATGGGTCTCTGATTCTTGTGCCTTCCCTTGGACTTTTCCCTGTGTTTGTTTGTCTTTGTCTGACTTGGATGTGATAGTTTTTGTTTTACCTTATTATATTTTATTTTGTTGTATTTTTTTTAACAACTGAACTGTCATTTAAACCTGCTGGGAAATCGATGGAGTGATGGTGGGTATATTAGTCTCTCCAGGGCAGACCTCAAGTTCAGGAATAGATAACTAAAGCCTTCCTCTTACCCACTTACTCAGGCTTACACTTAGGAAGTTTATTAAACAACCTGAAATATGCAAAATGTATTTTTCTTGGCTCATGCCTCTGCAGTGGAGGAATAAAGATGTTGCCATCTTCCTGAGTGAACCACCCGAATCCAGCTGCTGCAGGTTCATTTCTGAGGGCAGCAGCCACCAGCTCTGCTTCCCCAACCCTAGAAGAACCAGCAAGATTTTCCCCTCTGTTCTTGTGGTTTTCATAGAGGTAGCTAATGTCTACAGAAAGAGGTAGAACTCACGTTGCTGAAAGTTTCTTCAGAGGTGTCAGGATCCTGAGGTCTTCTACAGGGTAGGATACAAGGCTTCTCCCCTCCTCCTCCTCCTCTTCTTTTTCTTCCTCTTTGTAGAGTGTGTTAGAGGGGCCAGTCGGTGTTTGTGTGTGTGTGTGTGTGTGTGTAGATAAGCTAATAAGTCTCCTAGGAACTGGAGAATGAAATATACAGAAGTTCAAAGGTTATACTACTTGAAGGACTGAGCCTTCCTGGGTGCCTCATCCTGTGTTGTTTTGCAGGTAGAGGAGAAAAAGAGTGAGCCTCCACCCAGTGCTTTCACAGCTTTCGATTTCCTCATACACTGAAACTCAGCAGTTTCTTTCCTGTACACATTGTAGTTACCATGAAAAGTCAGAGATGGTGATGCTTGATGTTGTTGGTTTTTTTTTTTCTCTTGGTTTTTCTTACAAATCTTATAGGTAGAAGATTCAAATTTCAAAGCTTTGTATCCAACCAAATCACAAGTGAGTCCCTAGGAATCCAAATTCCTTTAAATGGTATGAAACCTCAAAGGGAAAGCTGAGTCACCAGCACAATGCTTTCTTTCCTGTTCAGGATGAAGGCCAAAGCAGGAGGAGAGATTGGCCCTGTTAGTTGCCAGCTGCCCTTCCATGGATTTCAAAGAAAATCGGAGATGAAATCACCTTTGGCTTAAGAGCTTCAGGCAGCATTCAATCACTCACTTATTAATTCCCCAGCCCCGAATGAACTTTCCAGAGTCTAATGTTGTTACAAACATACCACTTGGACCTTGAATAGAGTGTAACATGAATAATACAAACCCAGAGACAGATACTGTGGTTCAAGCTGAAGATCAGAAAAGAAAAGCAGTCAGACACTAGAGAGCTCTTAGCTATACCATATCTTCAGACTTAAAAGGAGTGAATTCCTGTCTCCTCCCATTTTATATTCTCTTGTACTGGGATTAAAGGCATGCACCACCACCGCCCAGTTTCTATGGTTAACTAGTGTGGCTGCTAGGATTAAAGGAGTATACTACCACCAGCTGGGCCCAATGACTGTGGCTAGCTTTACATTCTGATCTTCAGGCAAGCTTTATTAGATCATAAACAATATATCACAACAAAAGAGAAAGCACTTTGGCATCAGCCTTCCTCTTGTCTATAGTTAAGTTGGCCCTTTTCACTGATAAAGATAATCACTAAGAGAAAACTACTTCCTTATGGTCAAAAGAATGGAATCTCATTTCCACCTCTGGTCCTTGGTAGAGAATGACATTCTAATTAGTTCCTAAGTTCAGAGTACTGCATCCTACGTTGTTGCCTCTCTTAAAAGTCATCCAGGCCTACAATCTACTGGCCTAAAGACCATTCTTCCAGCTGAAGACAAGCTAAGGAGAAGGCAGGAGTAATTATCCCCTTAATGAAATAATAAACTTAGACTTCATAGAAGTTCCTCCACTCACAAGCCACTTAACAGAGCTTCTCCTACATAGCAAGCACCATTAAGCTGGCTAACTGTTCCAAAACGCTAAAACTCACACACATTTCCCTTTTCTTTCTTTCTATCTTTTTCTTTCTGATACTAGTCCAGTACCTAGCCCCATTTACTTGATAATTTGGGAGTTCTCATTTACTCTGAAGCCTGCCTTCTCTACTGCCATGTAGCTGCTGGCTAGCCTCCACTACCAAGCATGCCTGCTTGCATGTACCATAACCCCGAAAGACATGACTCTTCCTCCTAGTCTTCCCACTGTAGGCATTTATTGCGATTTACAGATCGTATGCCTGGTTATTTTTCTTTCAAAATGTAGTAAAATTGTCCTTGAACCTCCTTCAAAGTTCATTTCAAAATTTTTTTCATTAACATGATTAAGAACACAAAAAAACCCACCCCAGTTTCCATGTTAACAGCAATATTTATTGAGGAATACAAACATGAATATCCAGAAGGCAGTTTGACAGCAGGCTGTTTACAACAGCAGCAGCAGCAGTAGGTCCTCCAGCCATGGATGGGATTTTGAACAGGTGTACAATACCAGACATGGATTTCTTCCCATGTACCAGAACTCAAATACTTCTAGAAAGCCATTGATTAGCCCTATAACATTTGTGTCACTATTATACTGGCTATTCTAGTGAATGAATAATGAAAAACCACACAGTAGTTCTACTGGCCTTTCTTACTACTTTGAGTGAAATAATGATGAAGCATAGGTTGGGGTTGGAGAGCAGAGTATGTCTTTGTGTAAACACTAGGGTACTGCAAACCAGATTTTACCTACTACAGACAGATTTGGCACTGTTATTCCATCTTTTGGCTTAGCATGCAGGGGATATGTGAGTAAATGAAAACTCAGGTTTATTGGACTTACTGGTCTCTTGTACCTAACTACATAGATTGCTGGTATCTTTGTCTAATTTGTGTTTTTATAGCATAAGTTCACAGACAGAATAGTTGACAAGAAACAGAAATTTATTCTTATAGTACTGAAGGTTGGGAAACCATTTGATGGTGCTTTGCTGCTGTTTACATGTTAACAATGGTTGGGGCCTGGGTAAGGTGTTTCTGCATCTCAGTTGTCTGCATCTCAGACTTGAAACAAAAGCTCACATAGATTGCAAATAGCAGGAAAACCTTAGTCAAAGCCAAGCAATAGCATAGACGGGAAAGCAATGTGCAAGATTTCAAAGTATATATTTAATCAAAAATAGTGATTTAGTTAAAAGAATATATATCATGCAGTAAATTGTCACCCTGTATGATGTTGCTGGAAGCACTTGAGGATCCTGGAGACCATGGGACGCTGTTAGAAGCATTGGAAGAGCCTGAGAATGGCAGGAGACAAAGTTAAAGGTGCCCTGAAAGAATGGACTGTGCAGTCAGAGTGTCATGGAATAGGCATCTAGATCAATTGGCAGAGTGCTTGAGCAGTATTCACAAAACCCAGTCAAGACTCATTCATGCATCGGACTAGGTTCAAGTCTTTTAAATTGCCATGTTCTAATTCTGGCTGAATAAAACCACCACATAATGAGAAACATTTGCGTATAAGATGACAAATCTATTTAGAGTTTTTCAATATACTTTTCTACTTTGAGATTCTAAATTCTTCTTCAAAAGTAACAGGTAAGTTACTCAAATAACATGATGTCCATCATTCCTGTTTTCTTGTGTATATTGGTGATTCCATGTGGTTCAAGTTCGATAAATTAGAAAATAGCTTTACCAGGCTGCTGTCATCCAAACCAAAATTATTATTAATAATGACTTTTCATCAAGGATAATGCAATTTTATAATTATATTAGGAGCACCATTTAGGAACACAACTAGTTAGATAAACCTAAGATTATGCTGCATAATCCAAATAATGCCAGTGTAATTATTAAAAAGAATTATATACTGGTCATCTAGAGTCCTGATACATTGTTATCATACGATAAAATAATCAGACTTTGAAAATTGTGGCTGGGATCTCAAAATATATACCTGATGAATCATAATATTAATTAAATTAACAAATTGGAGTTCAGATGAGAAGATATTTTGTTCAAGATTATGTTTATTGTAATTATGTTAAGAAGGCATCTATCTGAGTAGGAACAGAAGGTCTTACTTTTGATGAAGAAAGAGCTGGGAGGGTTTGCTGGAGCCCTAGGGTCTGTGCTGGTGTCTGATATGGTTACAAACCCACAATTGCCTGTTTCTTGCAGTATCATTAGAATTTTTGCTTGAGTTCTTCCTTTTCTGAATGAAAAAAGACTTAAATAACTTATTTCTGGATAAAGGTTTTATTCCACACACAGCAATATCTTTTTATAGAGAATCTACTCTCAAGTTTCCTCTGGATAACAGCATATCCTCAGATGCTCATACCATCTGCCCTCCAGCTACCTTAGTCTTCTCATATTTATTAGAATTATTAGGATTATGTTTTAATGTTAACTTCACAACCATGGGCATCATTTGGCAGTTTCATATACTTGTGTCATTACACTGTTCTCTGTCCTGGTCCTTTCCCCACTGCCTTCTCCTTGTTCCTGTATTTCTCTGGCTTGTTTTCTTCATTCCTCAAACTGATTTTCACTTCTCTTTTCTTAATACATGTATTACATCTCTAGTAATCCCCTTCCTTAAGATCTCTTCCTCCTCTCTCAAGATTCCCTTTCTAGTTTAATGAACTACACACACACACACACACACACACACACACACACACACACACTGCTCTGTCACCAATTAAAATCCAGAGAACACTTTCATGTCTAGGGATAAAGAGTGGGTTCTGTGTGTGTTGCATACTGACTCCAGATAGTTCTATTTCTAGTTTGTTTCATTTTAATAAAGAACATTCCTAGGCTATTGTGATTATAGTTTACTAAAACTGTCTCTTTCTAATCAAGATAATATACAAATTGTTTCCAATACATGTCTCTAGCCTCATAAATCCCAAGCAATGACAGAAATATTACTTTCACCTTTTATGAGAGATTGTTAAAAGAAATGTAGACTCTTAGAACTAATATAATCAATAACATCCATGGGAAAATTAAACTAAAATCAGGCAGTTCTTTTCTGTAGGAACCCAGTCTTCAGAGTCATCCACTGTTGTTCCACTGGTGGTGAGGACAACCTGGGTAGGAGTGTAGCTCAAGCCTTGAAGCTGGGCGTTGGTGGCACACGCCTTTAATCCCAGCACTTGGGAGGCAGAGGCAGGTGGATCTCTTGTGAGTTTGAGGCCAGCCTGGTGTACAAGAGCTAGTTCCAGGACAGCCTCCAAAGCCACAGAGAAATCTCAGCACAATTCTTCACAGAACTTGAAAAAACAGTTCTCAACTTTATATGGAAAAGCAAAACATCACTGTAAAATAAAAGAACTTCCGGAGGCATCACCATCCATGATTTCAAACTCTATTATAGAGCTATAGTCCTGAAAACAGCTTGGTATTGGCACAAAAATAGATAGTTAGACCAATGGAATCGAGTTAAAACCCTAATATTAACCTGCACACCTATGAACGACTGATTTTTGACAAAGAAGTCAAAACTATACAATGGAATAAAGAAAGCATCTTCAACAAATGGTGCTGGCATAACTGGATGCTGACATGTAGAAGACTGCAGAAAGATCCATATCTATTGCCATGAACAAAACTTAAGTCCCAAAGGATCAAAGACCTCAGCATAAACCCAGAAACACTGAACTTCTTAGAAGAGAAAGTAGGAAATACCCTTGAAGGAAGGAATTGGTACAGAAGACTGTTTCCTGAACATAACACCAGTAGCACAGACACCGATATTGACAATTAATAAATGGAAACTCCTGAAACTGAGAAGCTTCTGTAATGCAAAGGACACAGTCAACAAGACAAAATGACAGCCCATGGATTGGGGAAAGATATTCATCAACCCCCACATCTGAAAGAGGGCTGATCTCCAAAAT